ACACTGAAATCAATTTTAGTTAATGTATATCTTAATGGTATAGGCCAGAAATGTTTATTTTCTTTTTAAAATGTATGTGTTATAATTATAATGTGCATAACTGTATAACTACATATACAGTAACAATACACATAATGTGACATTATAGTTATATGAGTATATTTAATTTTCTAAAGGAATTGGAAATGTATTAACGATTATGAAATTCAAATTGAGTATAGAATTCAGTCGAACAATTAATACCAGATATAATTATCAATGTTATCATAGCCAGTTGTCAATAGTGTCATAGGTAGGTATGTCAATAGTGTCATAGGTAGGTATGTCAATAGGTGAATAGGTAGTATTATGGCAGTGTTATGAGTATATATTTTTATAACAATGACCCAGAAAACTGTTAGCTGTTGAACATTTATTTTCTTTGTCTTACACACATAGTTGAACGTATACTGTACAATCTCGGTATAATCCGATACATATCAGACCACCTACTGCATGCCGGATTAACGAAAACGGCGGATTAACGGGGGTTCACATAAAAACGCATTTTTTCTTATTAAATTTTACATTTTTACTGATACATATAAAAAAATGAATTACATTATGTATTATTATTATTTATTAATAATTATTATTATCGTTATACAACACTATATCTAACCGGTACGGCGGTACACAATAATCACTCACAACACTCCAACGTCAACTGAATAAAAATAAAATATCTAATAGGTTTATACGTATTTTTTAGTTTTATCCAACATTTTATCGTTAACGATGGTAATTTTATGTATAAAAAAAATATTGGTACGTATATAGGTTACCGAAATTGTACTGTATTTACATATTTGTACCTTCAACATGCTAAATAGTAAAATACTATGTAATAAAATACCTATAAAATAAATTCCAAATTAATCAAATCAGAATATCAGATTCATTATGTATACTATATTCACTCAATCGTTCATAGTTTATACCTATGCAATATACTAGAGGTGGCCAACAGGTCGATCGCGAGGTGAATTAGAGTCGAGATCGCGACACCCATTTGGGATTTTTTAATTTTTTTTTTTAATCGTAAATGTGTGTATCTTTGTA